ATAAGTAGGTGCTATTGCTATATAAGATGAATTTTGTTGCCCCTACTACTACCCCTACCTGCCTCTTCCTAGTCCTTGCTGTCCCTTGACTTCAAGGGAAGATTGACACATTTAATAGATTAAAAATCATTAAGGTTGCCCTTGGGTGATGTCAGAATAATGGAGGGGGGATATAACCACTTCAGCACCAAGGATAACTTAAGCCTCCCTTATTTATGGAAGACAAGGCAGCATCTTAGGACCAGGGCAGAGAAGCGAGTTTGCCAGTTCTGCAGTGTTAAATATGAGTGTAAATAAACCCCAACACACCATTGTCCTCCTTGTCATAAAACTCATGCAAACTCTTATGTAAGTAAATGTCTGTGGTACAGGTTCATTGTATATTTGGACACGTGGACAACAACTTTCAACCAGCCTGAATACTTGCTTTATTAGAGGTTAGCGAGGAAAGTATTGATGCATAGTGTAATCCTTTTGCCCATAAAGTGGTCTTAGAAACCATCTGTATATTTTCATGTTTTCAAATTCTCCTTTCCATCCATTGCAGTTCATTGCCATACTTGCAAAGGGTGCCTATACATTCAGATCAAAGCAGAGTGGGATTCTGACTTGATCTAAGGCCTACAGATTATCAGATGATACCCATAGAATCTCCTTGTTAGCTGAAATCAGGTCATAGAAACTTACCAACATGGCTTTTAAAAAGCAAACCCAAAGGCTTCTCTTGAGCTTTAAGTGGCATTTGAGGAATCCCTGTCCCCAAAAAATAAATAATGGATGGAGCCACAACAAAAGTTAAACATGTTTTGAAATAATGTACATATAAATGTAATTAAAATTAATCACCTTTGATTTTTAAAAATAATTTCTTGTCATGCTTTTAATCATTTTTCCTTTTTTATCATTTTAGAAATCGCAAATTATTATCAACTTTTGGATATCTTCAGGGATTGTACCCAAAGCTTTCAAGGGCTATCTGTGGATCTTAAGTTTCAGATTCTGGACAACGAGAGTCTCTGACCTCCAGTTGATCAAAGGAACCATAATCATACCAGCCTGCAAGTGTGGACTGCTTTCTTTTTGTTGGTTGCCACTATACCTGAGCTCAAGGATCTATGTAGTATTCCCTCTCTCAAATTCTTCCTCTTCCTCTCTTCTGTCTAAGTTTTAAAATACCTGCTCAATTAGAATCTATTTCCTATGTCTTTTTCCTTGTAAGGCAATAAACAATGATCACCTTTGACTCACAATAATGAAAATCTGGTTTCTCTAGATCTGGTTTCTCTTTTTCTCTCTGAACTTCCCGCCTCCTCATGATTTTAGGCCACCACTCCACCACTGCAGCCAGCACACCTGCTGTGAGTTGAAGTCCCTCCAATATGGAAGACCCCACCTCCATATTGGGAGAATGTCCTTAATGCCTCTGATATCGAAGGCTGCAAAATGAAGGGATATGATGCCCTCGTTCAGCTTTTCCTTCAATGGGCTTCCAGACTGAATGGGACAAGTTTATTTCTGCTTCTATAAATGGAGCAGTTAACTAAATCTAATGCCCAAGGAAGGAAATTTATTTTAGGCAGCTGAACAAAACAGGGCGGTAATTTATATCCGGTAATTTATATCTGATAAAAGTTTAGCGGCTTCTGGATTTGGATACATACTCCTTTCCCATTCTTAAGTTGCTCCCGATGCACCAAAATCATCTCTGGCTGTGTTAACACCACACGACAAACTTGATCCAGTTCCCCCAAAAAGTGGTTAACTTCAATGATTACCTTTTAAAAAAAATTGCTTAATGCATTAGGCAAATTGAAGCCAGGTGACTAATTCATGGGCAACCACATCTTGCAATCGCAGAAGAAGTAACTTAGGTTAGCCACCAAGATCATCATGTCAGGCAAATACAGTCTGGGTGTTTGTAGAAGGGCTGATATAGGTGGGGGCATTCAGATCAAGAAGCTAAAAAGTGGGTGCTTTTACCTTCATGGAGCATCTCTCTGCCTCTCTCACCTGTCAGCCTACCTGCCTGCCCATCAGCTGCCCTCAGGTCTACGCATTCATGCTTGGGGTTGCCCTGAAGCTTCAGGGGGACAACCTGCCATTCCACCCAAAATCTGAGCACCTACAGACCACTTCGGATCCCTGGGAGGCTGAAAGCCCAAAATTCCTCCGGTTGTCTTCTCCCACCGCCAGTGGAAAGGCGAACGGGGAAGCCTTCCCTCACCTGAACCTGAGGCCGGAGAAGGGAGCCATCCTCCCGGCCTGGAGAAAAAAAATAAGAGACGCGCGCACCGCCCAGGCCGGCCGCGCGGTATTGGAACTATGCGAGGCACGCGGAGGGCGCGCTACTCCGGCTAACAAAAGGCTCCGGCCTGGAGCGAGGCCTCGCGATCCAATGTCACGGTCGAGGCCGGAGAGCTCGCTGGGCGAGTCAGGAAAGGTCCCTGCTCTCTTTTCCCAGGGGGATCAGCTAAATATAGGCCCTGGGCCTGGCTCTGGGCCCAACCTCCGGACCGTGGGCCGTTGGTTGTATAGGGGGGAAAAAAACTATTAGCGAGGAACAACTGCGAAGCGCCGCGGGACTTTAATGGCGACGGAGATGCAGTCCTCCCCACCCTCCACCCCTCCCGGCCTCAGAGATTCGGTAACTCGGAGGGCTGGTGGTGATAGTGGGAGGGATCCGCGTAGGGACCTGGCTGGACCTGCGGCTGACACCGAATCCCCCCGCTCGATCGGGAGGCCACCTGGCCTGCCTCGGGGTGTCAAATGATTAGCAGGTCCTTATTTATAAAGTTCAAGCGGTTTTCCTCCTGCCTTCCTGGTCAGCGGGCGGCTTACTTTATTTTCGTCCGCATATCCGCGGGTATAAATGTTTACTTAGGGTGGAATAATATTTATGGTTTCTCTAGAAAACAAATCAGGCCCCGGGCAAGGCGCGTCCTCCGGCCCTTGTCCAGCAGGCGCTTCCTCCGGCCCGCCGATTGCTTAACGAGAGAGGACAGATCCTGCAACCAAGCGGCGGAAAGGCGTCTTTCTTCCTTAGGGCACATGCTTCGTATTTGGGGGAGAATAACAAGGTTTTTTTTAAAAAAAAAAAATCCTGCGGCTTCCTAAAAAAAAAAAGAAGAAGAAGAAAGGAAGGAAGGAAGGAAGGAAGGAACTGATCCTCCGTTCTTTTATCTGATCTTCCTTTTATTTTACAGAACAAAAAAACAGACCTCTTCAAAATTAGTGATCATATCCATGGGTTCTAGCAGTTCGACGCTGAGCCCTGATTTCCCAGGCCGATCCCGATTTAAAAGATGCCACAGATCTTTGCCTGCGAGACTGTACGAGGAAGTTCCCCCTATTAGGCCCAGAAGGCTTAATTAGGTTAAAGTCGTTTGATACATCAAAGCATTTGTCCACCAAGATTCAATTAGGAATATGCGGTTAGATTCTTTCCTAATTTTGCGGAGTGGCAGGCTGTCAACAGTGGCATATCAGTTAGTAACTGAGCATTGGTATCAAATTCTTGGTATCGAGTCTTGTGACTTTGATTGCAGTTCAAAAGAAATGAATTAGGAGCTTTCTTGAACTTGATTCCAGAGACTAAGGTTAGATGCTATTTCAACAGAAGAAAAACATATTTAATTTAAAGACAAACAGAATCATAACACCTTCTGCATTTCTTTGAACATGGGGGTGGGGTGCAGTTAATATAAAAACCTAGGTGGAGAATTCAAAATTTTAACTTATTAAATGTAATTAAAACAGAAATGAGATTTGTCTTCTTGGTTGTGTATTAATTCAGTATAATTCCTTCCTTCCTCATAATTAATTGTTTTTATTACCAGATTATCTGACAAATTGTCTCAATCCTATTTCTTTATTATGGAAGTTACTTTACCATCTCTATCTTAATATTTATATAATATCCAAATAATTTCCCTATAAGTGTAATCCAATCTGTAGCAATTTTATAACGTTTTTACAGAAGTGTCACTAGATATATCTAGATTTAGATATACATGGATAGAAAAGGTCGAGGATGATATTTGGGAGAGATTTTCTTGCTCTTTGAGGCATTAAATTTTTCAGTCTGTTGTATTTTTAACAGAATAATTGTATCTCATATATAGGTTCTATTGATTTTTTTTTTTGTTTCCATCTAGCTGAGTGACTACAGAATTTCCCCAATGGAGCAAAAACGTTTTTTATAATTCTCTTTCATATGATGTGCTAACTGGAAAGCAAACACCAAAAGTGCCATTTTAAAAATTTATTTACAAAGCTGTGTACAACACGAAGGAATAACATTTAGAATACATATATTCATTCATATATAAACAGACTTCTATAATAGAATGAGAGGGGTTTTTCTCCCCTTCTTTTTTTTTCCTGCTCAGTTCTTTCATATTTAAAACGCCTTCCCTTATCGTTTGCTGCAAATTTAGATATATTTCGAAGAAAATTACCGGAGGAAAAATGAGAACCTTCAACAAAAGTGAAAGTTCGGGACTCCTAAGCTTGAGCGTTCTCGACTTCCCGTTATCCCTTTTCTCTGATTTTTTTAAAATATGCGTTTGCTTTTTTTGTGTGCCAAATATGGACCATTAAAAAAATAAAATAAAAACGGCAAAGGAAAGTCCGTCATTGCCTCTCGCCCTCCCCGCTACAAATATCGAAGAAACAGGTCGCCGCGGGGTTGCGTGTCAGCTTTACCTGCAGCGTCCGAACCCTTCTTTCCTATGCGTTTTGCCAGCGTTGTTTCAGGGCTCCTCCGAAGCCTCCGGGTTTACATCGCGAAGGCCACGGACTAAGGCAGAGAGATGCGGCACTGGAGCCGATCGAGTCCGCAGAGGGTCGTGACGAGAAAATGAGTCTCTTGGAGAAGCGGGAGGCCGCCAGGAACCCTCCCCCCCCCTCGATTCTTCGCAGGATCGGAGAAAAAAAGGCGAAGTTGAGGAGGGAGGAAGGAAAGGAAGGAAGGGAGAGCGGGTCCCGCGCTCGCCGCCGAGCTACTGCGCCGGCCACTTGGCCTGGACCGCGCCGGCCGAAGCGGCGGGCTGCAGGAACTGTCCGGAGAGAATGTTTGTAGGCACGCTGAGGATGGGCGCGATGGCCGCCGTGGTCCTGGCCAGCGAGAGCGGCTGGTGGGCCAGCAAACCCGACTGCGCGGTGACGGGCGTCCGGAGGAACGTCTGGGCGCTGACGGCCGAGGAAGAGCTGACGGCCGGCCCGGCGCCCGCCCCGATGATATTCTCGATGCTGAAGGAAGGCCGGCCGCTGGGCTCGGCTTTGACCCCGCCGGCCGCGGGGCCCGAACCGGTCACGGCGCCGAGCCCGCTGAGATGGAGCTGGAGGCTGGGGCTGAGCTGCGCGTTGAAGGCTTTCCGGCTCAGCTCGCCCGAGGGCAGGAGGGGCACGGCGGGCGGCAGCATGGGCCCGACGGGCGGGATGTAGGGGTACTGCAAGGCGGCCGGGTGCGGGTAGGCGCCGTGGTGCAGGCCGTAGGCTCGGCCGTAGGGGCCCGAAGAAGAAGCGGCGGCGGCGGCGGCGGCGGCGGCCAAGCTGTAGGCGCCGAAGCTGTGCATCATGAGCGCCGTCTGTTCGCGCAGCTGCTCCTGTTGGTGCCGCTTGAAGCGCTTGCGGCGGCGCAGGAAGGAGCCGTTGTCGAACATGTCCTCGGACTGCGGGTCCAGCGTCCAGTAGTTGCCCTTGCCCGGGTTGCCCGGCTCGCGGGGGATCTTGACGAAGCAGTCGTTGAGCGAGAGGTTGTGGCGGATGGAGTTCTGCCAGGCCGGGAACTTCTCCCGGTAGTAAGGGAAGCGGTTGCTGATGAACTCGCAGATGCCGCTCAGCGTCAGTTTCTTCTGCGGGCTCTGCAGGATGGCCATGGTGATCAGTGCGATGTAGGAATAGGGCGGCTTCACCAGGCTGCTCTTGGGCTTGCCGCCGCTGGAGGCAGCAGCCGCAGCGCCCGCCGCCGCCGCCGCCCCGGACGGCGCGCCCGGCGCCGAGCCTTCCTCGCTCCCCTTCTCCTCGACGGGGCTCCCGCCGAGGCTGCTGCTGCTGCTGCCGGAGCTCATCTCCACCGCCTCTTTGGCCATCAGCAGCTCGGCCGCCTCGTCCAAAGCCAGCGAGGCGGGCAACCGAGCCAAGCCGCTGCCGGGGGGGCTGCCGCCGGCCTCCAGGTCGCTGCCTCCGCCGCCTCCGTCCCGCTCCTCCAGGCAGTCGTCCTCCTCGCCCACCACGTCGATGTCCACATCTTCCGCCGTCAACACCGTCTGGCCGGACATGTCGTTGGCGCTCAGGTTGCCTGACAGAGTCATCTCCCAGCTCAGGAAAGGGGAAAAGCAGCGGGCTGGAGGGTGCGGGGTCGTCAATGAATTGGCGACGGGCGATAAATCGGGAGAGTTGAAAGAGAGAAGAAGGGACGAGAAGTGTCTCTGTGTCGGGGAGGAAGGGGGGAAGGAAGAAGGGGGCTCTTGGGGACACTTGGATCCAAATCCGGCCCCTCTTTGAACAGGGTGCTTCTCCAACAGGTAGCGGTGTCAGTAGCCAGAGAGGGAGCGCCCCCCCTCCCCAGCCTTCCTCTTCTTCTTCCTGCTCCTCCTCCTCCGCTACCTGTCGGCCACGGGGGCCTCCTCCTCCTCCTGCTCCTCCTTACCCAGCTGTCGGCATCCGAGAGCAGACCGCAGACCCTTTGCCCACCTTGGCGGCGGCTGCGCTGATAGGCGCCCGGGAGATCTGCGGGCCAAGCCTTCCTTGCACGCAGCTCGAGTGCGACGCCGGCAAACGGGGCGGCCACTCGGGGCTTTCCTTTCAAGCAGCCGGTCACCAGTCAAGCAGCAGCGACGACGGGGCGGCAGGGAGCGCAGGCAGAGTCCGAAGGGGTGGCGGCGGCCAAACCGAGCGAGCGATCCGAGCTCCTGTAACCGTTTTTGGCTCCTGGTCTGGAGCCCTTTAGGGTTCCTCCGGCCCGGGAGGACTCCGGGCTTCCAGACCCCTACCGGCTGCTGCGATGTTGGACTGTGCTTTTCCCCAAAAGGAGCGATTGGCGAGCGGCGACCTTCTCCCGGCTCATCGGAATGGTTGTGCCCGCCGCCACCGAGGCTGTTGCTGCAGGTTAGCTCTCTTCGACTAAGGGGATCTCCATCTCTCTCTCCTCTGCCTCCTCTGCTCCAAACCTCCCTCTTTCTCTTTTGCCTTCTTTACTCCTCTCTCTCTGCCCCCACCTCGCTTTTTCAAATCCCACAAAACACCCCGTCCGTTTCCTCTGTTTAAATTCCCCCCACCCTTTCCCCCCTTCTCCCTTCTATCTCGAATGGGCGGAGGGAGAAAAAGGTTCGGTTTGGCAGCCCAGAGAGCAGGAGAGGGCGGGGAATCCACGGGCGTTATAGAGGAACTCGGTTGCCACTTAGAAAGTGCCTTTTTTTTTAAAAAAAAAAGGCTGCCTGATAGATTACTTTCCAGTTAAAGATATACTAGGGGGCGGGGCCACGCGATGGCTTGACGTCAGCGCCCCCCTGGCAGGCCAAGCCCGGCTCAAGTTGTTTCAGGGGGATTGTCAACAAAGAGACAACGGCGGCTCCTTTTCCCCCCTTGATCCCCGCCAAGTGATCAGCTCGCCTCCCTTCAGGGAAAACTTGCCCAAACAGGCCTTGTGGCAGGTCTCCCCAGCTTGGCCCCTTAAAAACAAACATCTGCTCAGGTCGCCAAGTTTATTCTAATAGGAATGGATGGAGCATCAAAACAAATCAAAACAAAACAACCACGCTGGAATTCGATGAACCCAAACACGCACACACAGACACACACACAAGAGAGAAGATGCCCCATGCAATCTTTTCAGAATTGGGCATTTACACACACACCCAGAGAATTTTCCCAGAGAATGGAAAGCAAAGTAAGTCTTCAACTGTGTCAGTCAGGCTGGATTAAGAATTAAATAATAGGGCCAAGTATAAATACAATTATTATGTTGCCCTGGAATGCTTTGGTTTTTTAAATCCGGTTTTTTTTGGGGGGGGAGCGTTGAACATCTCTATCCCCTCCATAACTTCCGAGAAATTTTGTTGTTGTTGTTGTTTTCTCCTTTTACCTTTACTAAATAAATACCAGCATCCGCTGGGAAACGAAGAAGGAAAAGATGGGTATCTATTCATCTGGTAGGTCAGTTGTGGATCGAAATAAGACCAAAAAGACATAAAATAACCACGCCTTTCTAAAAAAAAAGGGGGGGGGGAACAGAAAGAAAAATAACCAAAAGAAGAGAGAGTGTGTACGCTGTAGCTTTATTATTATTGGTGGTATCTTGCAGAGGTGTTAACGACGTAATAATAGCTCATTAGCATATTAAAAAGTAGGAAATGGAGAAAGGGGGAATGTGTGTGAATGGAAATATTTTGGTATTCACCTTCAAGGTAAGCCTTGTCCCAAGAAAACAAACTCCAGGAGGTAGCCAGTTCTCAAAGTTTGTTGCAAATGTCTATTTCCTCCTCTTTAAACAAAAGCCTCCGTTTCCAGAGAGAGAACAATTGCTTGGAGTTTAGGTAGGAAATGACTCGCTTGGTAGGTGGCTTTTCTTTTTGTTTTTTCGTTCTATGTATGGTTGTAATGATTGTTGTGACTTCGGTGAAATGTTGATAGGAACAACAACTACTACTACAAAAACAACAGTCGTCAGGGGGGGGGGGGGGAAAGAAAGATTTGAATCTCCAAAAGAAATGTCCAAATCCACTTGCCTGGACTGCCCTTGTGTGGCCGCTTTTGTTTTCATCACAACATTTTACAGCTTTCGGATAAAAAAGCGGGACATCTTTATATTTAAACAGAGCGAAACACGCGAACCAAAAAGGTGGGTCCCGTGTTGCGATGGAGAAAAGGGGAATTGGCTTAAGACCGAGTGTCGAAATGTGCTAATGAAGACAGAAATGGCAAGAATAGTATATACAGAAGGCACCATGTGTGTGTGTGTGTGTGTAACAGCCCCCCCCTCCAGTGATTTATGCTCTGAGCAAAGGGAAAGTAAGAGGAGGGGACCTGGCTCTCTGCATGGAGGACCAAACCTCCATATCACTGTTCACACGAGAGGGGCTTTCAAGTTTACCCTCTGGAAAAACCGGCATCCGTAAGTTACATTTCTCTCCCCCACCACACCTCTACCGGCCGTCGCCCCGCTAATCAGTATGGCACGGACGGACCACCGCCCTATTGAGTGATCTGCCACGGGACGTCCCCAAAAAAAAACAAGCGGACAGGGACTTCGAGCAAATGCGACGCATTGTATTTGGTCCTTCTCTGTTTTGCAAAGCGCTGCCTCGCGGAGTAGAGAGGAAAGGGACTTTGCGTAGCTCCTTGTCGGAAGCTCTCACCTTTACAGAAGCTCTTCGGTGCGGTTCTACGATCGCTGCTTTGGAGCGATTCTTCCCAGCTGGGACTCCTTAGCAAGAAAAAGCGACTGTTTCCCAGCCTAGATTAGATGAGGGAAGAAACCAGGCTAATTCGGACGGGTGTTAGGAGATCTGCCTGTTCGCGGGAAGGATTCGTAAAATCAGGTTTATCCAACCCCACAAACACGAGTCCCCTTTTCAGTCGCCGCGGATGGCCGTGGGACGTTTTTCTCTGTCCGTTTTTCTTTCTTTCTTCCCCCTTGGTCTCTTCCTGAGGGAGCCTTTACCTTTCGATGGTCCCGGGGTGAATTCCGACCCTTGGACCAGTAAAACCTTTGCAGATCTCCGCGTGCGTGTGTTACAGCAATGAATAAAAGGAATCCGAGCAGGAGTGGGCCGATCCGTCATCCATTCCGATTCATTCCGTGACAAAAAAAAAATCAATTTCTCAAATATAGTCACGCGTTACAAAAACATCCGTTTCTTCTGTGGTTTTCTTGTGAAATCTCACCGGGGATTGTAACAAGGTGATGGGAGAGAGAAAGAGGGAGGGAGGGAGAGAACATCACTCTAGAAAGCGTCGCCTTCATTTGTTGAGCTTTTTGCTTTGACACAATTGAAGTCAAATTAATTGATTCATACCATTAATTATGGTGCTTAGCGTGGAAGAAACGTATCCCTTCGATTAGGACTCTATTGTGCTAATCTCTTGTTCCATCAGTGTTACCATCTGATGCTGGGAGGAAGAAGGAGGGTGACTGCCGGAGGGTGTTTGTGTGTGTTTGTGTGTGGGGGTGGGGGTGGCCCGGGGAGAGAAAAAGGAGACAGGAGAAAGCATGGAGGCAAAGTTTGGGGCTCCTTTTGGCAAATCGAGCAGGGCGCCTCTGAAGCCAGGCACCATTCGCAGAGCTAGTATTCATTCGCTTCGGGCCTCCTGGAGGAAGGGCCAAACCTGGGTTCACCTGGCTTGGGGGGTCCCATCTTTGATTTGTCTCCTGTTCACCTTTTCCTGTGCTGCAAAAAAATATTATTTTTTATTTATTGGATCAGTATTTACGTTGTATCCCCCCCCTAAAGTACTCCCCAAAAGGAGGTGAGGAGAGGAAAGCTCTTCGCATCTGGAAAGGTGTCTGAAGCACAAAGACCGGTGCTCATGTCCAAAAGCTAATTTGGGGGGGGTCTCTTTCTCCCTCCCTCCCTCCCCCCTCTCGTGCGTGAGGGGGGGATGGAAAGGAAGACGCGATTGCCCAAAGGAAGGGTGAGCTTAAGCCAAAGGCCAAGACCACCCACCAGCGAATGAGTAAAAGGGAACTCTTCAGTGAAGTTTGCTCTTTTTACCCTTAAGTTTTCCAACTTCGTAGGTGAAGCTTCCCTCCTGCGTCCAGTTTGGTGACTGTGGAGCGTGTCTGTGTGTGTTGAAGAAAACAATTTAATTTTAGAATAATAGCAAAACTTTCTCCGAAGCAATCCTCCTAATTACTCTCTCCTAAAGGAGAAGGCTGAAAAAGAATATTTTTAAAAAATTCATGCGAGAGAGAAGCTACGTGTAGATATGTACAATAATGCACAGGCGCGATTTAGCAAGCAGATTTTGAAACTGCTGTTCGGATCGATAGGGAGCCAGATAGAGACGTTGCTGGCCTTGATGGGGGGAGAGGGGGAGACGCGGAACGAACAACTTATGATAGGAGAGGAGAAATTAATTACAGTTCACTTGGAACCTAGGATGAGCAAGTGAGTGTCTAGCCCACAAAGTGAATTAAAAATGAATCCGGAGAGGAGGTAGGAACTGAAAAGGAGGCGAGAGGAGGACGGCCAGCTGCGTTGGGCTAGGCTTCTTCTCCCGGAACCAACTACTATATATATTTGCTCCCCTCCTGTGCCCCGTGACTTTCCCGGAATAGTTGTAGAAATCGTTGACCTAAATCCTTACAATT